GCGAACGTGGATGACATGTGCTTGCCCATGGCTCTTGGACTGGGAAACTCTTGCAGTTACTCCCCTGTTGCCGGTGGTGCCGCTTCACCGCCAGCTCCTGGCGCTGTTCCGGGAACGTCCTCGAGCTCGCTTCTGATGGGCAGCAAAACGAGGCGGGTGAGCAATGCGAGCAATGGATCGGTGAGCCGCATGGAAACCATTCTCGAGGAGCCCACGGAATCGAAAATATCTGTTAAGGAGATCCTTGCCCGGTTCGAGACGATGAACTCCAATGAGGTAAACAATCATCTATGAAAACTTCCCATTCCCATTCTTATTCCGTAAAGAGAGAATTCTGTTTAAGGATAGTCCAAGGGAAAATAATATCTTTTACTCGATTCTCGATTGCTCTTCTATGTTTTATTATTACTCAAGCTTCAGCAGGGCTATGTCCTTTTCACTTGTTTACCAGCAATACGTGCAGGCGGATAATAACGAGCTCTGAAACAGAGGCAGATATACGAGTACGTGTACGAGTATGAGTACGTATATGTATACGTACAGAGAAGTACGGGGCCATCTGGCGTTAACAAGTCGAAACGTAATCGCATTATTAACGCGGACAGACAGAGAAAAGAGGCGAACAGCCAGACAACCGAATAACCGGAAAACATCAACGTCCTACTGAAAAGTCGCTTACATTAGTTTTGAAGTGCGATTCTTCATGTTTATGACATAGTCTGATCTATTTTTGTACACCCGTACTCAAAAACAGTTAAGGTGTATATTGTCTTTGTGGTAAAAGTGGATGAGTGTAACGCAGAGAAGGAAACGTTTCCGGCCCCATATAAGATATATAATCTTGATCAGCATCAATAGCCGAGTCGATATAGGCATATCCGTCCGTCCGTCTTGATGAGCGCCTAGATCTCAAAAACAAAAAAAAAAAAACGAGAAGGAACGTGCGAGTCGCTTCTGGGGACGCGACTCTACTTATACCCGTACTCAGTCAGTATATACATTATTGAGCATATGATTTTTTAGAATTTTAGAATTAAAAAAAAAAATTTTACATTTTTCATTTTTTTGCTACATCTGTTGTCCACATCTACATATATTATGTATATTATACATCTATCATGTAGATTAAACATGTACCATTTAGATTCTACATCTCCTCCGCTAGGGGTTGCTCGCGCACTAAACGCGGCAGAGTGTGCGAGCGAGAAGGAAAATGAGTTGCTTGGTCATCGGCTGGAGGGGGCAGGGGAAGCAACTGAAAATTAGTTTCTTCATTCTGGCTATAATTATGATCCGATCTTGTTCAGATTCGGCAATCTGGTAGATGTGGTCATTCTCTACGATACTGCGTTTTCAGTTTTATCGTATCTTTAAAAATGTGCCTGCCACAGATTTTCGTCCTTTGTGGGGTCGGAAGGGGGCGGGCGAAATTTTGAAATACACTTGTAGCAGTGTGATATCACATAAGTCTGGAAACCAAATTTGGTTGCCCTAGCTCTTATAGTCTCTGAGATCCAGGCGTCAAACAAGACAGACAGACAGACAGACGGACAGACAGACATGGCTATATCGACTCGGCTATTGATGCTGATCAAGAATATATATACTTTATGGAGTCGGAAACGTTTCCTTCTCTGCGTTACACACATCCACTTTTACCACAAATCTAATATACCCCTTAACTCTTTTTTGAGTACGGGTATAAAAAGAACGCACATATATTTCCTGGAGTTTCACACCTTTTCTTTCTAGAAAGAGCTGAATGTTGTAGCCTTACGTTAGAGATGTTCTCCTCCTAGAAAAAATGCATCTATTTTGGCTATGTGGTGATCAAATGGTTGACGGACGATTGGATCGATGTTCCGTACTCCATGCTTTTGATGAGTCCGCGGATAGATGCTCGTCGATCTTCTGCAATTATCATTGTGTAGGATGTTAATTGCATTGTGATAGACCGTAATTGCTTGCCCTGAATTCTCCGGTGAACTCTTCGAGTGGATCGTAGAAGATGCCAACGCGAAATGGTTTCGATGACCGGCCACCTGGCGCGTGAGTTCGCTCCACTGCAATGGCATGGCTCTGCGATCTACGATCCCGGACAAGATCCATGAAACGAAACGAGCATGGATCAACAGAAGAAGAAAAACAATGGGAGCTGATGGAAGCTGATTGGAATGGAATATAAATGGGAATGGGATATAAATGGGAATGGGGATAGGTATGGGTATGGGGATGGGGATGGGGATGGTGACCCACAAAGATGCAAACAAGATAGAACAGTGTCCGCCGTGCCGTTCGTTTTCCGAACTGCGCCGAGAGATGAGCGCTGAAAATCTAACTGTAATTTGATTTCAATAATTTAATTACACAATTTCCGAGTTTGCCTTGTTTGGTGCGTGTTTTTTTTTATTGTCGGTCTCCGCTTTGGCCGCTTGGCCTATGATAAATTACTTTAATTTCTTTTGCCTCTTACTATACTGCCAGTGAGATGGATGGATGGATGGATGGTGGCCGGGTTGGCTGCACTGCGCACTGCATTAATTTCGAATTTTAATTAATGCGAGCGAAAAATGCATATGAAATAACACAAAGCCGAAAAGAAAGTTTTAGCGGTCACTTAGAAATGATACGCCGAATTTAACTCTTTCTGCTGCTCGTACATGCATATACTCGTATATATACATACATATGTACAATGTACATATCTACTGGGTCTATGTCTATGTATATGTCTATGTTTATGTCTGTATTCGTGTTCATTGCTCATTGCAAGCACTCGCTGCTGAAACTGGATTGTCTAGAGTCCGATGGAGGCCATCTGACGCAGTTGCGTCCCCGGTTCCAAGAGTTCTGGCCCATATACTCGTACCTACCAGTCATCAGATCTGGCTCACGACAACTTGCTCGAATTATTGCGCTAGTTTTCTGGACTGTTTTCTGGACTGTGTGCCTGTGACTGTGCCAACCTGCCCTGCCAGTCAGCATATCCAATCGGGTCCCGCTATGCCCTGGGGGACTGCGGACTAGGCTCTCAAATTTAATTGTTTATTTGTTTGTGTTTCTTGTTTGAAATGCCATATGTACATATGTATGTATGTAGATATGTATGTACATACACGTATGTATGTATTTTGTATCGCCATAAATTTGCTTGGGCCCAAAACGATCTCTCCAACTAAAATCAGTTCAAAATCTCAGCTCTGAAGCTATTCATGAATCCACAGTATTCATAATATCACAGCTATACTCATTCCTCCTTAATGCTTTCGATCATCCCGAATCACTTAAAACCGAGTGCCAGCACTGCGGATTAAAATCAGCAAGTTTCGGTCGTGTTTCTCTTTCCACTTTCGTGCATTTTGTGCACTGAACAAATCTTTAACGAATATTTGCTTGTCTCTTTTTTTTTTTTTGCTATGTAGGTACATTTATCTGAAGAAATCTAAAAACAAATGTAGTGTAAGCTAAAAAGAAAACCGAACATTTCGGATCCAAAACAGAAAAAACGAGATGGAACGTTGCGGGTCGCTTCTGTGGCCGCGACTCTACTTGTATACCCGTACTCAGTCAGTATATAATATTTACTATATATATATATCCATGTGAGCTTATGAATAATGTGGTCTTTTCAATATTATTATATTTTATTGTACATTTGAAATTTAGATTCTTCGTTCAGTCCGTTTTGGGAGAGTAAATATGTAAGATGTACATATGTAAGATGTACGGCTAAGATCTGGAAATCAATTCACCTTTTTTGCCATTATTTGAACAGAAATGGTCTCAGAAATTATTAAGAATACGATATTTAATCCAGGGCCTAAAAACTGGTAGTAAGTACGAGTATTTCGTCACTGCTTCTTCAAAGATCAGAAAAGTTGAAGCAGGAGCAAGCAGTCAGTGTGCAGCTACCGTTACTTTGCTTCTGCCACGAAAGCGACTTTCGTCATCGTCGTAAGTCGAGGCAGCAGTCGCCCTGGCCTGCCAATGAGAATTGTAAGAATTATATAGGAAACTTAAGCTGCAGGATAGCTTCTGGCTGTCTTTCGGCTGATCAATGCGTATACATACGCGTATGTATTTACGCATGTACCTACATACATATGTATGTACATACACATGTTGCATGATATGGGCACTTTGGCTTGAACTGGCTCTAATCATTAGATGCCCGATAATGCCCGATGAGATTAGATGATATGAGGGTAAGGGTGTGGGTGTGGGTGTCCGTGTCCGTGTCCTCGCTGGATCCTGATTGGTTTCGCATGATCATCACCGAAGCTGAAAGCGCCGATCAATGGGCCTATGCCCATTCAGCTATCTGAACAATCGCACAATCGCACAATCGCTCAATCGCACAATCGCACTGGCACGCAGTCTGATTGATTGGTGCACAGTTTCCGCTTTCATAAGCAACCACTTTTCCAGCTCTCAGCGCCCGAGTGTACATATGTCTGTACATACATGGGGCGCGAGGAGGGGTGAATGTGTGCTGTGGGTGCAACTATTGAAGACGTGCAAGAAAAGAAAGCAATTGCAGAAAATTGCAGCAAATAATTAAAATCAGGAAACAGGGAAAACCCGCCTTGCCCCGGTTGCCTTGCCGCCAACACTTTCGTTGCCAAAAAGTCGGCGTCGAGTGCGGTGCCACCACCAAAAAACGCCACCAATACGCCCTCGACCGTTGTTGGTCTATATAGGACCATAAATTATCGGACACGCCTCCCTGTCCACTGGCAACTGGCGACTGGTAACTGGCAACTGGCAACCGGTCTGTCGGGGCAACTGGTTGCGCCAAGCTGCCCAAAAAAGTGGCCAGCAACTTTCACATGCTATTGACATGGCCAGCGATGCATTCGCTGCATTCGGTGCATTCGCGGCAAGTCAATTAGTGAATTGCAGACGAGGCGCTCTCTCGACTACTGATACCTAGGGTATGTGGGGGGTGTATCTGTGCGGACACCAGCTAACAGTCGCTCTCCTCTGTTCTCTCCTTGCAGTCACAATCGAAGGCCTCGACGCTTTCGTCGGGAGCCCGAGCCGCAGCCCAGATCCTAAATGTTCCGCTGGAGCGCCTGGAATCTCGCCAGGCGCATGCCCAGCGCAACGAGCACGGCAACTTGAACGGGAACGAGGGGGAGAAGCAGCAACAGCACCAGCAGCACCAGCAGTCGGAGCTGCACCATCACCTGCAGCAGCAACAGCTGGAGGATGCCCTTGAGGAGCAGCAGCTAGCGGCCGAGCAGCATCACCAGGGACAGCAGCAGCGGTTCATGAAGCAGCAGAGCTACCTGCACTCGGCCCGCAAGCCGAATGCAGGCCAACAGCCCTCCCCCCTCACCAATGGCCAGTCCCACCAGTCGGATCAGCATCTGCAGCAACAGCAGCAGCAGTCGATGACCCACCACGACCTGGACGCAAACTACATGCAGGAGGAGACAAACGGCGGCACACCGCCCTCGGTCACAAAGTACTCGCTGCTCCAGTTCGCCATGCAGCACTTCCGCAACGAGTAAGCTCATCCACCCGATCCCCAACCCCATCCCCAACCCCATTCCCATCCTCATCCCCATCCCGATCACGATCACTCGGCAGCTACATAGCTCTAATGTTTTAATGTTATAATGTCATTTTCCAGTCAACTGCGGGACGCCGATCGACATCATGAGCGACACCAGTCCCAGTCGGCCGCCAACCGTTCGTACGCGGAGCTGGTCAAGTGGCAGGGCCATGCCATACGCCTGCCACTCCTCCGGCTACCCAACGACCTGGCCCCGCTTGCGCTCGAGTGCTTTGACTGCGTCCTCCGCTACTGCGGCGATATTCCACTAGATCCCGAACTCACCGAGGTCAAGTGTGTCTACACGGTGCTCATGGTGAGTTCCGCAAATATTTCGTTGTAGCCCGTGCGAATGTGCTTAGCATTTCATTTAATAACAAAAGCGTTTCAGAATCAGTCACTTCGAAATTTTGCCCCAGGATTCGCATCGGGGTCTTCGTTTTCAAAAATTAAGTTCGGCACAGTTAGGATACAGTTCATTGTAATGATACATACATATGTACATATACTCGTATACCCACCCGCCCATACTATACACCGCCCATGTAGAGTTGATATGAGGTTTGATAGCGGTTTTTGTTGAGTAATGCATTGGTATTGACGAGCTTTGATATTGATATAGTTGTTCCATTTATGCCCATTCCAGACAATGGCCAGTAAAAATGCATCGGCCCCAATTTGCTCGTATTTAAATGACTTAAATGCCACAGATCATTTCATCCTTTTTCTCCATGCTTCATTTAAAAACACCTCCCTCCAGTTGCCTAAATGTCATGCCCGAAGCAGGGAAAGCATTTCTTAGCAATTTAGTAGACGCTACTCGCAGTAAATATTCCCGTTCCACATTCATTTAAGCATTCATTTTAGGCCCGAAGTGAGTGGTTACCTATCCACGACAGACGGGCAAGTGGGTTGATTTTTCCCTAATTTTGGGAAAATCTGTGCCATCCACAATTCTGAAGATACGAAAAAACTAAAAACGCAGGATCGTAGAGATTGACCACATCTACCAGATTGCCGAATCTGGATCAGATCGGATTATTATTATGGCCAGAATGAAGAAATTAATTGTCAGTGGCTACCCCACCCCGTTCCAGCTCTGCAGCGCTTACTCATTCCCTCTCTCGCTCACACATTCCGCCTCGTGCATGTGCGCCCTCTAGCGGAGGTGTACGAAGAGGGAAAATGTATACATATAAAATACAGTTAAATAGTTCCACACATATAACTGACTGATTAATGGTATAAAAGTAGAGTCGCGGCCACTGCGACTTACAAAGTTCCCTCTCGTGTTTTATATAGACATTCCATTCCTTTGAATTCACCTTTTCGTTATATTTACTAAATTTACAAACTACAAATGTCAAGAAAGAAAGTCAATACGCATTTCTTGCCGCCAACTCTTAGCCGACCGAACAAATAGTACACCTGAGGTTGATGGGCTGCAGAAATTTCAGTGCTGAATTAAAATCAATAATATTTATGCACGAGTACGAAGAGTTGCCCGCAATCAAACATAGCAGCAGCTATAGAGCTAATCTTGAGTTAAACCTTAAGACTATTCTTAAAGCAAAAACCCGTGGTTTTGTGGTTTTTGTTGTTGTTGTTGAATTGTTGCACCTTTAAATTGTGTATGAAGCACACGTCAGAGCTCAGCAAATCTGAACAATGTTAACGATGGTAAAGTTGATTGGTAGTTAATCGACAATTGTCCAATGGGAACAATATTACGAGGCAGGCATAGATGAGACATGGCTAACAAATGAAGGACATAATCAGTTGGCGGGAAAGTTGGCATGAATGTCAAAGGAGTAGTAGTAGGATCTCGACTGTACTGTACTCAAAATATTAGCATATTATGTGCTCAGATATGCTCTGAAACTCTGATTTCTCACTAATTTCCCCTTGCAGCATTGTCACAAATATCTGGCCCTGAGAGACGAGGTTTACTGCCAGTTGATGAAGCAGACTACGGCCAACCGATCACCCTGCCCGGACAGCTCGCAGCGCGCTTGGCGCCTGTTGAGCATTCTGGCCGCTTACTTCGGCTGCTCGGATGCCTTGCGGCCGTACCTGATGGAGCACCTGACCTCGGCCGCGTCGGACCGTCGTCGCTCCTGCCATGGCACGGCGGCCGTCTGCCTCACCAACCTGCGGAAGACGGCCCGCTGCGGCGGCCGCAAGAACGTGCCAAGCGTGGAGGAAGTGACAGCCGTGTCCGCCGGACGCTCGGCCAGAAGGCAGATCTATAGGCTGCCGGGAGGCGCTGAGCGGGTGGTAAACACGCGCTGCTCCACGGTGGTTGCCGATGTCATTGCCGAGCTGTGTTCACTGCTGGGCGTCGAATCGGAGGCCGAGCAGCAGGAGTTCTCGCTGTACTGCATCGTGCAGGGCGACGCCTTCACCATGCCCTTGGCCGCCGACGAGTACATACTGGACGTGACAACGGAGCTGCTCAAGTCCGGGCAGCCCTTCTACCTGATCTTCTGCCGCTCAGTGTGGCACTTTGCTCTCAAGCGCGAGCCGGCTCCTATGCCGCTGTATGTGGAGGTGCTCTTCAACCAGGTGGCCCCCGACTACTTGGAGGGCCTTCTGCTGGAGCTGCCCGGGAATGGGGTGCCCATGCCAGAGATGGTGCGTGATATGGCCAGGATCGCGGCGCTGCTGCACCGTGCCGCTGACCTGAGTCACGTGCCGGCCATGAAGGAGATCAAGTTTCTGCTGCCCAAGCCGGCGCTGGGCATACGCGAGATACGGCCGGCTCAGTGGGTCGGCCTGGTGCAGTCTGCCTGGCCGCAGGCGGCCGGCCTGAGTCCGAGCCAAGTAAAGGCACAGTTCCTCAATGTGCTGGCCGCCTGGCCGCTTTTCGGCAGCAGCTTCTTTGCGGTAAAGCGCATCTGGGCCGAGGAGGGGCCGCACGTGGAGGACAACCACAGCCCAATGTGGCGTGACCTAATCCTGGCCCTCAACCGGCGTGGAGTACTGTTCCTCGATCCCAACACGCACGAGACCCTGCAGCACTGGAGTTTCATGGAAGTGATATCCACGCGTAAGGTGAGTATCCCCTCCACCCCCCTTCCTGTCGATACTGTTGCAACCTTCTAACTTTTCAACTTTCCAACTTTCCAACTTTCCAACTTTCCCACTCTGTACTCTCGACTTTCGATCAGGTGCGCTCGGAGGATGGAGCCCTTTTCTTGGACATGAAGGTTGGCAATCTCATGCAGCAGCGCGTGATCCGCGTTCAAACGGAGCAGGCGCATGAGATATCGCGCCTGGTGCGCCAGTACATCACCATGGCCCAAATCAGTCAGCGGGACAAGCGGGAGCTCAATTAGGTCTACCGGCAGAGGCAATCGTCGCCTTTATTATTTAAATATTTTTACCATTATAATTACTTTCACCGAATTATTCTCTATTCGAATCCATGTTTTCCCCATACATTAAACTTTTTTTTTTTTTTCGTTTTTTAAGTTGTATCCAATATATTTACATATACATATACATAAAGCATAAACCATAAACTATAAACAAGATACAAGATACAAGATTCATACATGCATATTTGTGTATACATACTCGTATGTATTTGCATAGATGCTTATGTTGTGCTGGTCCTTTAGTTTTCTCCGTTTCCCCCCTCCCCCACCTCCGCAACTGCCCAACTCGGTGGACCTTCAATGGCCATCTTCCCCTTTCGCCCCTCAAATAAATAATTTCTGTCTTAATCTTAGGCAAGCCAAGCTTAGTGCAATGCGTGTGCATCCCTCGAATGCACCCCACCCCACGCCCTGAACGCAAATTTGAATATTGTCAAATTTATTATAATTATATTATATATTTTTTTGTAATTGGTTTCGAACTGGAAAGCTTATCATAAATAAATGCGTAAACCATATTTGTATATGTATCTACCATATACCATCTTCCATCTTCCATCCATTCATACACACACATATGTATGTACATATGTGTGCAGGCACATGTAAAACTAGACTTCCACAACAACCAGAACAGAATAAATAGGTAAAAAGACGAAAAATGTAATGACATAGTGAGCAAATAATTATATTATATTTGGTAGAAGTTGGTCGCCGTCGTCCTCATCATCTTCCTCGTACTCCTCATCCTCATCTTCATCATCATCATCCTCCTCGTACTCATCATCATCATCATCGCTGTCATCCTCGTCTACCCCTAGTCCTGCCTCTGCCCCTGCCCCTGTCTCATCCTTGCTGGTGGTGGTCCAACCTGCGGATGTTGCTGCTACATTGGCTGGCGCCGACGTTGTCTTTGGCTGCCCGTGGCCAGCGAAATGTGTGGGAGGGGAGGGGACTGCCTCACTTGTTGCATTACTCTTTGCCGCAGCCATCGTTTTTTCCGTCGTCGCTGATGGTGTCGTGGCAGCATGCGCCATTGTTGTCGCCCCATCAGGGAGCAAAGCAACAACGCTTAACGCTTCATTAGTCGCATTGTGGCTACCAGCGTCAGCTGCTGCTAACGTAGCTATCGTTGGCGTCGTTGGCGGCGTTGGCGGCGTTGGCGGCGTCCTTGTCGTGACGGTGCTCAGCGGTGCGGTGCCTGCTGTCAGCGTTGTTGGTGTGGGCACAGCTGCGGTGTCATTTGTGCGGCGTTTTGGCTCTTTATTTGCTGGCAACTTTACCACCTGCTGCCCCATTGTGTTGCCTGTGTCGCTTTCGTTGTCGCTGTCATCAGGCACACCTGCGTCCAAGTCCAAGTCCACGTCCCCATCGTCCAGCTCCAGCTCCAGCTGAAAGGGCGGTGGAGTAATGCGCAGTGGCGCCACCGAGGTTAGCAGAAAGTCATCGCGTATCTCGCAGTTCTTTCCAAGATACCCCTGCCGACATACACACCGATAGCTGCCGTCCTCGCGGCTTACCGATATGCACTTGCCCTCGTTCTCGCACATCTCCGGGTTCTCCGCGCAGTAGCTCAGCTCTGTCGGGAATGGAAGGGAAGGGAATGGAATGGAATGGTTGGCTATGACTATGACCTATGACTCGGAAATCGGCCTGGCCTTGGGTGGCAATGCACTCACTTTCATCGCAGAGCATACCGGCCCAGCCAGGGTGGCAGTTGCACTCCCAGGGCGCCTCGCAGTCCCCGTTCGCGCACCCGGGGTAGGGGAAGCACTTGTCGCACTGGCTGCCCGTCCAGCCCACCTTGCAGCTGAATGAAGAGTGACAATGCAAATATAGAAGGGCAGGCTGCAGAGGCAGAGGCAGAGGCAGAGGCTGGGCTGCCTAATCACGTTGGCGTTGTGAACCTCATACTTACCGACACTCGCCAGGTACGCGGCAGTAGCCGTGATACTTGCTGCAGTCCGAGGCACATATAGCTGAGAGAGAGAGAGAGAGTTTTTAAACAGGTGTCGCAGGACTCGGTTGCGGTCGAGGAACTTACGCGTCTGGCAGAGCAGGCCCGTGTAGCCGGGCAGACAAAGGCATTCCAGCGGCTTGTTGCAGCTGCCGTGCTGGCAGCCCGGCATGGTGGCGCACTCGCTGCAAGTGTGTCCCGCGTAGCCAATGCGGCAGCGGCACTCTCCGGGGGCCTCGCAGTAGCCGCGGGTGCTGTGACATCCACTCCGACAGCTGGCTGCAGGACAGAGCACAATAAGAGCACAATAAGAGTGTGTCTCTGGTCTTACACTTTGACGAGAGCCGTATAATCATAAATGGCAGCCTTTGCATATTTACAGTATAGCACTGACTTACTCCAACTCCCACTCCCACTCCCACTGTGACTATGACTATGACTCTGACTGACTCGTCGCAGTTCTACTTGCGGGACTCTACTTACGTTCTGTGCAGAAGAGTCCGGCCCAGCCGGGCTTGCAGATGCACTCAAAGGGCTTTGTGCAGTCGCCGTGCTGGCATCCCGGTAGCGGAATGCACTTGTCGCACATCTCACCGCTGTAGCCGATGCGGCACCGGCACTCGCCTGGCCGTTGACAGTAGCCTATATCGTAACGATACATATGTACATATGTGTGTATGACTTGGATGGAAATCAGTTGGCATGCCCCTTACCGTTCATGGGATCACAGCCTCGCCGGCACATGGGCACCTGGCAAAGGTCGCCCTGCCATCCAGGCAGACACGTGAAATCGCCCTCCTCGTCGCACACATAGTGGGAACTGGCCTTGTGACTTTGGGACTTCTCGCACGCCTGCCGTGAACCAAATGCTGCCGATTAGTCGGTTGCCTCCCAGCATTTAGCGAGTGGCAAAATTTTACTCACGCGTTGTTTCCAGAGCGGAATCTTGGAGCTGCTGCTTTGGCGAACCTCAAAGTTTCGCCTGAAAGCCTCGCTGTCTTCTATGCCGAGTGCGGTGATCAAGGCGGTCAGCAGGAGCAGGAGCACCCCTAAACTGCACGGCAACATGCCTGGTCAGTGGAGAAGAACATGTCTGCTCAGTTAGTTTGTATGCATGCACATGCATGCATATATACATATGTATGTGTGTATGTATGTATGTATGTATGTATGTATGTTGAATCTTTTGATTTTTTTAAACTTATTTATGCGTAAATGCCGGAATTATTTTTTTCTTGGTATCGCTCTTCGCAAAAGAGACACTCTGATTCGTCTCTCTCTTAATTTTCTTTGCACTTGTCAAGAGAGAGAATACACAACGGGGAATGGGGGAAGCATATTCGTAGAGAGAGAGAGAGAGCTAGTTATGTTCTTGCGTTGTTTCTTGCACTCTGTCCATCCTCATTCTACCCATGAATGAATAATATTCCAAAGAGAGAGAGAGAGAGAGAGAGAGAGAGAGCGAGTGAGAGCGAGTAAGAGCGTTGCAGGGGACTAAGAAGCGGAAAATAGTCGCATTAAGTCAGGCTATACTGATGCAAGTTTCGGCAATCTGCTGGGTAATATTATTCTGTAGGATTGTGCCAGTCAGAGCCATTCGAGTGCAGATCAAGTGCAAGGCGAACGGATATTTGGCTGTTCTGTTGCTTGGGTCAACACCCACTCAATGATTAGCTCCCAGGCCGACTGGCATCGAATGATATTGAATAAAAGAATTGCATTATCTACTCTAGACACGCATCAAGCGAACAGACAAATTTTCATCGTTTAGCCAGGGCTGGACCGTAAAAAGAAATCGGTAGCGCCTCTCACAGTCACAATTAACATGTTGGAAGACAACTTTCTTCGCTTCGCGGAAAGAAGCACCAAGAATGGCAATCAGCCCAATCCGCTTGGGAACTGATGTGTTGATCACATGTCAACCGAGCACGAATTAAACTGAATAAATCTTCCGGTCAAAGTTCAATCGAGAAATATTTGAAAATGCCAGTCGAAAAGAAAAGTCTGTACTTTAGGAACTGAGGAACGGTACAGCTGCAGCTACTCAGACAGGTGGCAGGGCTTCTGCTTGTACTCGGTCCACCTCGGTCTGCGCTTGCTTTGGGACTAATCAATGAGCGGCAGAGCTACCTATGGCTCACTGTAGCCGACGCCGATGCCGACGCCGACACTGACTGCGTTGTGTTCTCTCGTCGATAGCTCGTGCGACGTCACTCACGCCCGGCACTGAAATAATTGGGTCGAGTCAGCTGGGTGGACCGTCCGTCGCGCATGCCCAGTGCCCAGTGCCCAGTGCCGGAGGTAACCAGTCGTAAAACAAGTCGTGGCAAGTCGGGAACTTTCTTGACGCTCGATTTCCCAACACCAGCACATAGAGAAAGAGGCGAAAGAGATAGAGAGAGAGTTCTATTTAAATCATACTCGTTCTTTATTGAATGATTTCAGTATTAGTTTAATTATAACTTTATTATTAAATATTTTCGACATTCGTATGCACCTAAAATCCATTTTAATGCTAAGGTCCAAAGTTTAATTCCGACTCTATGTAGAATATTGTCCAAGGGGGGAACAATTCATGGAGCCCCTATTCTGCACCCCCCTCACCACCCCATCCGCCACCCCAGGACTTTATGTGTCTGTGTGTGAGAACGTATCGCATGATGCACGTGTGTACTGGATATGGATCGAATGGGGGTGTATGTACAGCTGCGGTCAAAACAATAGTAGTGCCAATATGACTTTTCATTTATCCCCAAAAAGGGACTACCTTAATTGCAGATTGTAATAATAGAAAACAACTCAGAATAAACCAACATATCAACATATTCGGAAAAAAATTAAAATGCTGAAGTACCCCAAAAACGGGTCGGTCAAAATAATGGTGCAACTTTTCATAAGAGACTACGGTCTAACAAAACTTCCTAAGAGTGTTCTTCATATCCAATATGTCACCTGTATATTCGAAGTTTGTTTTAAGACTTATTTGAGTAGCCTTTGTTAGCTCTGCCGTCTGCACGACGCTTTAGCATGGAGCTAGCATAATTTTGGTACCTTTCTACAGAAATCGTCCTCCGGGACCTTTGTAAAACGTCCCAAAGCTGATTGTGTTATTTATTAGACTTTTGCACCACATAAAATCATAAATTCTCTATTACATTGAGATCGGGTGATCGATCGGACCATTCCAATGAATTTACTCTATTGGCAGCGAACCATTCTTTGGCAACTTTGCGGCTGTTCTTCGGATCTTTGTCCTCCTGGGACATCCAGATAAGTTGCATATCCTCAGATGCATAAGGTAGGTTTAAGGTCGATATTTGAATGTATAAATGACGATCCAATATGGTTTTAGCACACATAATGGCCAAGTTCCATAGCTGGAAAATCAGGCCCAAACCATTGTTTACGGTGCCGCATTTTTTGTGGTTCTTGAAGAATTTTTTGTGGAAAATTCAGATAGCCGTGGTCGTCTTAGATACTAACGAGATACCAGGCTAAAAAAAAAAAAATAATTTTAAACTCGTTCGAATATAAAATATTCCTCCAAATTTACTATGGCCAATTTAGGTATCCCCTAGCAGACTTCAACCTTGGGACTGCATGTTTTTTTTGCCAGTAAACATATGTTCCTTTGGCTTTGTGTCCTTTAATTATAATCTTTAACGCTTCTTCTAATAGTTTGAATACTATTTTAAAAATTAAACATTGTTTTTAAGGCTGAAGCAGGAGAAAAATGATGTCCCCTCGCCTGTTGCAATGGTCGATCTACTGATATTTTGCCAAGTAACTTCGTTGATGGCGTGTTTTGCTTTATGGTTCTTATTTATTATCATTTCTGGTCACAATAGCTAAAAAACTAATAGTATTTAGCATGTCGAAGTATTACTTTCCTACTGAAACGATCCCTTTAAGCCCGAAGCCTTCTCCGCGCTAGAGTGTTTGCCACGCCCCATGACACCGGTACCAAATGACCAAAAACGAAAATAAAAAAGCCTGAAACTGTTAAATAAACCATTCAAGTATTGTTTAACAAAGAAAGTTTTGCAAGAAATGCAGTAGAGTTCATAAGTTTCAAAATTTTCGGTAGCACTACATACTATAATGTTTACAGCATCGAAATGGTGATATTTATCGAAAAATCTCGAAATTTAACGGAAAGAAAAGGGACACGCTAGTATAACTTTATAAGCAAGGACAGCAATGCTTAATAGTTGCACGAGTAAAGAAACAAATTCGATTGTTGAAACAATAGCGGAAAAATAAGCAATATGTAAATCCATTAGTAGCACTACTATTATTTTGACCGCAACTGTATGTATTTATGTATGTATGAATGTATGTATGAATGTATGTATGCGTATGCTTTGGGGGCTGAAAGTGCTCGTAGAAGATTGAACTAACGGCTAGACAGTTACACTCACACCCATCAATGTATTGGACTCTTTCGCTTAGCAGCTACATACACACACACATAGATTCAATCTCGATTGTTAATTGCTATGTGGTATTTGATGGCTTATGTATGAACACACATACGTCTACTATCTATCCATATCCCATCCCATCCCATCCCAACCCATCCAATAATGAGCATCATGTCGTATCTATGTATGTATATGCCTCGAGCGGCTAGATGCGGTCAGTACACGAACACGAACACGAAACACGAAACACGTACTCGTACTCGTACACTCGTCGTGTCAATTCTTACTTGAGAGTTCCCCCGTCAACTACTTGGTGCTAAAGGAATGTTGCATTTTACATGCAGCTACCTACATATGTACATATGTATGCATGTTGTACTTGTGTACATATGTATCGTATCTATATTTCCAATCACACAAAACAAGAAGGGTCAAGAAGGGTGCACTCTGGAACCCATTCGGTCCTGTGAAAGGCTCCGAACTGAAAGCTGACAATGCCGGCTACGAGTAACTAACGAGGGGGTTTCTCAGTGTATGTATATATATGTAAGTCCACTGACTTATTTCAACTCGGTGTGGGCACAAAAAAACATTCCTCACGATACAACTATTCCTCTTAATACACTGACTTAAGGCTTAAACTCTTACATACAATGGAGTACTGAAATTCAGTGCTGAAATTTATTGGGATCGGCTTAGGGCTCTAGAGGTTTGCGACTGGGGACTGGGGACTGATGTGTGGGGACTGCGTGGTCGTGGTCGTGGTCGTGGTCAGCTGTGGACCGATTTGATATGATGCGAGATCGGGGCCGTCCCTTAACACCTGTTTAGCCGCACGTTTTGCTTTTTCCTTTGGGTTTCCTTTTGCCGCAGCCTTAGATCATAACCTACATACACTCGCTACATATGCGACGATGCGGTCGATACAAAAATGTATGTTAGACGGGAGCGATTAGACGAAAATGAACTGCGCGTAGTTGCACTTCTTGGGAGGCCCGACGGTGAGGCGGAGCCACTTGCCGCGACACGACGGCGCCGGCAGTGCGCTCCAGCGCATCGTGCGGCCAGAGAGCCCCTCGCCACGGCAGTGGAAGCTCGGCGTGGGCGCCGGAGGGAGCGTAGCCGACATGGCGCTTCTCTTGGTGCTACTCCACGGGCGGTCGCGGTGCGATAGGATCTGCGACTGGCGCTGGTGCCGGCTCTCGTAGTTTTCATTGCTGCCTGTGTCGAGCATATTTTGGACATCTTCATCCTCCACTTCACCCTCCTCGTTGTTGTTGTCCTCGTCGTCGTCGTCATTGCTGTTGCTGTAGTTGTTGCTGTTGCTGCTGTTTTCCACTCCCTCCCCCGCATCGGAGCCGACGCTGCGTTCTTCCTCCTCTTTGTAGGTCCCAGTGGTCGTGGCTGCAGCAGTGGGGGTCACAGACCTGGCTACAGTAGTGCTGGAGCTCCCTGCACCGTCCTGGATGAGGGCCTCGAGATCGCAGCGCACTATAATGCGATCACCTGAGGGATTGGATTGGATTGGATTGGTAAAACTAATAAGTCGCCGAGATCTATCCCCCAAAAGGTCGCCTACTCACCCTCCAGCATTAGGTTGTAGGGCGGCAGCTTGTGGCAGGCTTTGGAGGCCTTTAAAACCTCGAACTCCACGCAGTACCTGGAAGATGAAGACGGCAAGTGAAGAGATTAAGACGTATGCAGGTACGAATGTATGTATGTACATACGAGTATGTGGGCTAAGGTATTTATTTTTGTGTGAAGAGCCAGTTGGGACCATCGATCTTTGCTGAAGCTAAGTACAAGTAGTTTCCCTCAACACCTTTCCGTCCCTTGCCCCCGATGCACAACTTCCATTTCTGAGAATTCATCGCTCATTCATCGTCCGCATAATTATGCGTGCAGGGAACCCTTAATCCTTGGTCCTAATTATTGTATTTGTGTATTTGTGCTTCCCAAATGACAGAGCACGGGATGCGGCATTGGACATACTAATTTGTGCAATTGTCCCCACTGAAGGGAGTGTGCGCGGGGGAGGGAGGACTTCAAAGGGCCGAGCACTGTCAGTGGGCCGGAAATGTGAATTGTCTATTAAGCCTAACAATTTCCGTTTCCGCTACGCGGAGACCAGAAAAAAGTGCTAAACCAAAACAACAAATATCGAACATAAACTACGGCTCATGTATGCATATGTACATATGTATGTATGTATGTATGTATGCATGTATGTAAGTGCGAAGCTGTGTGTACGTGTACGTGTGTGTTCTTGACAGCTGCCTGGGTGTTGATAACGGAAATTGCCTCGGAAATTTATAAAAAGTGCCTGACATTTTTGATTTTTGCCTTCCTCTGCAAGCATCACCACCGGAAAACCCTAGCCACTTAACCAAGAGCGGCAGAAAGTGAGCCAGAGTGGGTAGCTGGGCCGCCTCCTCGAAAGCCTCTACGGCCGGGGGCGATTGAATCAAATTAGCCAGACGACTGCTGAATGCATAGGAAATGAAAATCGGCATCCGACTCAGACTCAGACCACAAGAGCAATCGAGACGTTGTGACTACCCCACCCGGTACTTATACCCAGTCTGTATAAATGCCATATTATCACTCTCTCGCTCTTGCTCTCGCTCTCGCTGTCCCTGTCTCTGTTTCGGCCAACGAATTAACATACGGACGTTGGGAGCATATACATATATCTCACTCACTCGCCCCTGGTGGCCAAGAAAGTTTCTTAGAGGCGGAGAGCAAGGGCGTGGCAGGCGGTCAGACACGGGAACGGCTTCTTCATTCTGGCCGTAATAGGAATAATCTGATAGTAGCGATCCAATTTCAGAAATCTGGTAGACAATCGAATTCTTTTTAAGACTCGGCGTCTAAGAACTGAAAAAATTTGTTTAAGTGCCTTTACCACAGATATAAGAATATAAGTATGTACATGCATACATACGTATAAAAAACAAATAACTTCCACAGATCTAAGGAATGGGGCGCGCCATGTAAACTAGAGTTGAAGTGCGGGTGGAGCATCTGACAGCCGGCCCGGTTCAGCATCAGCCCCACACCCACACCCAGACTCCGCCTCAAGCCCCGGGTTCGCGGTAATTTTACCTTTCTAAATTGAAAAAATTAATGTAAGTAAACAAGGGCCTGCCGCGAAAAGTAATAAAAATAAACAAGGCAATTCAAAAAACTCGAGGACCAAAACAAAATTAAAGACAAGCAATTCGGCAGCGGTGTCGCTCGCTGCAGGGTGGATCTTGGTCCGGAAAGCTAATGGTCGTCGCTTATGGGTCAGCCCCGCCTGGCTCCGGCATAGCTACCGATCCCAGCGGGGCTGTGAAGAAACTGACTTATCACAACGTATTTCTGAATACTGCAATAAGAAGACTCAGAGGAAATTAAAGCCAGCTACTACACCGATAGAAAAAAGCCCTGAAATTTTAATATTTTCCCTTAGATTTTAATATTTATGCCATTGATTTTCATCCAAGAGTGGTTGTATTAAAATTGAATATTTTTTTTTCACTTAAATTTTGATATTAATATAAAAATATTTAAATTTAATATATTTCATATATAAATGTAATATGTTTCATATTCAAATTTAATATGTTTCATATTCAAATTTAATATGTTTCATATTTAATGTTAATATGTTTAATATTAAAATCGTGAATCGATCGGATTGGTATAGATTAAATCCATTACACAAAATGACATTATCACATAAATGCGGCATGAACCAGGTTTCTGATATACAAACAACATCGACACTTGATTGTTCAAACATATATCGATACTCATCAGTCTTACCAGACAAACTCTGTGCATTTGCATGACAAATACTGAAGCCATCTTTTTGTTTTGCCAGTTTGCGAATCATTATCCTGCTATTCGTTGGAAGTCTATTCAAATTATGAACCGCTTAAAAGATAATAACTAAGCTTAAATATTATTTTATGACTATAGGATCTTATTATTCTAACGAAAAACAATAACCTCCGGATTTTTTTCGTAATAATTGTAGATCATGCACGTTCTCAACTTTAAAAATCTCTCCAGTTGGATGCTTCTTTACATGCACGATCGCCCGTCGAGTAAAAAGGGCAGATAGTGATTTTCCTCCTTTCATTTTAATCGCCTCTTTAAAAACAGCCAAAATCTCTTTAGATAACTGCTCATTAATATAAAAAGCGATAATAGTTTTTTCGCTTCCTTTCCATAGTGGCCAACAGCTCGCAACAACGCCGCCTCTCACACTCTCTAGTCGCAGGATAGTCACTGGATCAACAGCTGTTCCCTGGTTTCTCTGCCTGATCCCAAAAATGTCATTTAACCTCGGATGGGGTGCAATGTTAAGGGCAAAGCACATTTTGTTGGATCTGGTTTTCAACATTTCGCCTTCTTCGTAGGGTATTCCATGGATACGGAGATCACATGCGATGTCTGCTTTGGCGCGCTCCATACATTGTGAGTTTAAGTGGACGACATTTCCACGTATTTCTTGCATCCCACGTAACTCACTATTGAGCTGGATGATTTGCTGCTCCTAAATCCATCTCCTGGATTACCTCACCCGCCTTCTCCAGCTGCAAAACACGCGAACTTAGCTTCTGCATCTCTTCTCTCATACCAAGGATTTGGTTTGACTCTATTGACAGCTTTGCCGTGATTAGCTCGTTTAATATGTTAGAAATTTGTGAGCTTATGATTTATGTAGAATTTTAAATTATTTTACCTTTTATGTTATTGAAATACACTTGTAACAGTGTGATATCACATGAGTCTGGAAACAAAATTTGGTAGCTCTAGCTCTTATAGTCTCTGAGAACTAGGCGACAAACATCAATGCTAACGAAATTATATCAATTGGGTAAATTAGTTGTCGTTTATTACATTTAGACTATAATATCGCAACAGTACTATATGGAAATGTGTGTTTCAAGGACATTACATTTCTTGGACTCTGTGGACCTCGTCAGAGATATGCTCCTATTTCAATTTGCTAATTGGGCTACTCAAATACGCTTTTCATAATAAGTTTTTTCTTCAGCTTGGCTCATTTATTTGACTTAGCCTGTGTATTTGTAATAATCAATTCATTTTGCTCATTTAAATTTTAATATAAGTCCTTCATTCATTTAAAGCGAAGAAAGGCTTCAATCCAAAGCTTAAATATTTTTATATTACATAGGAAATCCCGTTGTCCATTAAAAGAGGGAATGGAGCCGATATTTACTTCAAAAGTTATTTTATGAATTCATCACTGAAACAACTTCACTTATACCGAAGAGGACCAGGCCTCTGAAAGTCTCAAAAAATAGGAACATGTTAACCCTATTTATTAATTAAACCCTATCTCATATGCATAAAAAAGATCTCTGCTCAGTCGGACTTTGAAGAGCCGATTCCACAAAAGAATAGATTTTCATAGTCATTTTTTTTACCAAAAAAAGAATCAAATAATCCCGGCCCGAATCCCAATCGTTATTTTTTTTTTCTTTCTTGAAATGCTATTTGCATTCTGTATGCATTCAAATGGAATGGAGAAAGTCATGTTTTCAAAACGTTTGCGTGCGGTAGGTGAATTCTTGGCTTCCATTAGAATATAATTATATAGAAATAAGCCATATACATATTTTATGGTATATTCACATTTATCGTTGAAAGTGTGATATACATAAATTGGCCGAAGAAAGAAAGCCAACGGGAAGTTTTTAAAGTATTTAAAGTGGCTTTACTATATGTATCTATATATTAGATATGTGTTTCTATAATGTTTTTGTTACAGAGCTAAGCGTAACATTTTCATTAATTGTAGGGTTTTTTTAAATTACATTAATTTTTAGTGTGTTCCTTTGAACAACCCGCCAGAATGCACGTTTCTCTGCCTTAGTGTAACTGATACATTTCTCGGAGCAGGACCGTTTTAAACCATAAATACTAAAGATTTTGTATTTCCAACGTACCGAACGATAAGTAAAGTTCTTATACGAGTTTTTGAGTTTGGTGGTATACTGGTATATTTCCCAGACGGTAGGCTTAAGATAAAAAGTATATAAAATCGATTAACAGCTGCATTCATCAACCTATTATATTCAAGTTAAATGAAAAACGAAATGTTTTCAATGTGTAAGAATCTCCAAATAAAACTCCTAAATATAAAAAATAAGTACTTAATTCATTGCAAAAGTGTGGAGCTCCAAGTCTATCAGAAATATGTAGTCAGATGGCTGGCAGAAAAAAAACATCAAATTGGTTACCTAGTGTGTTGAGAATAGCTAAAAATAGAATAATGAGAATATTTCAGAGCTTAAAATGCAGAACGCCATTGTACATACAACTTTCGTAATTTGTACTTTAATATTTCCAATAAGAAATTTGTGCCCAGGAGAGAAAGGCCGTGACCCCAGTATGTTGAACTCCCTAGAAAGCAGCTCCAGCCGTGATGAAGTCAACCTAAATGAAATCAACTTTTTCTAGCCAGCAAATTGTGGTCAAACATTAGCATACAAGTACGAGTGTAACGACAATTGGCTCCCTTGCCCTGCCCAGTAAAAGTAATTTTCTTGTTAAATATTTTTCCATTTCAAAGACCAACAACTGTCAACAGCAACGGCGGCAATAACAACAAACAGGCACTTATAAAAGTATTTGGACTCG